GTGACCGCATCCTCCATCACCTCATCATCATCCCTGTAAGCTGAGGTCCTAGAAGTGGCAGCGCTGGCAGTTCCAAAGTTCGTCCGGTTAAAACAAGAAAAACAAACGGCGCTGAGCGTCGAGTGTATACAAAGGAAGAAACTTACACAGAAGCGACGGGGATGTCAATCTTAATCTTTGGCAATGCCTTCCGGATTTTCGGCTCCGCAACTTTGGGGTGCTTGGGCGCTTTCTCGGTCGGGGTTGGTGAAGACATCCGAGGACGCTTTGAAGATTGACCAGCTTGAGCAGTCGCCTTTTCACGGACGCTCGGTCGTTCTTGGGCAAGTTTGGATCGCCTCTCCCTGCGAGGAGGCGACTCGACTTCTTCTTCGTCGCTTGAGTCTTTGCTTTCTCCATCCTCTTCACCATCAGAAGTCCACTCGCCACTGTCGCCGCCGCTCGCCTCGCCTTCCAAGTCTTGCCCTTGCTCTCCATTGGGCATCGAGTACATTTCAATGAGGGCCTGAAAAAATAACAATCAAAAGACATTCAGTCAACCGCAAACGGGACATCACATGGAGAGTCAGAAAGTTACTTATAGAAACATACCTGCTCCGGCTGACGCGAGTTGTCGAATGGAGTCACCCTCCTGGATCCCCGAGGGTTGTCTTTGTTGCCAGTGATTCCTCTCAACCAGCTCTCCAAGGTATCCTCACTAACCTCCTCCGGGTGGATCCGAGTGGTATCTTCGAGCCCAGAATACATCCACATCGGATGATCACGCGCCTGAAGGGGTTGGATGTGTCGACCGAGAAAGACCTCCAGCAGATCCATCCTGGTCACTCCGTCGCGGATGAGCTGGACGACCCATTCGACCTGCTCCTTGACCTGCGCCTTCTCTTCTGGAACTATCTTCAGGGGAGCAGGCTTCTCCACTCGAGCCAAGGAGAAAGGAGGAAGCCCAGTCGACTGGCCAGGGGTCGGCTGATCCTTGCAGTAAAACCAAGTCGACTGCCAGCCCCGGACCGAGTCAGGAAGGATCATCGCTGGGAAAGTACTTTTGCTCCTCATCTGGATCCCGAGACCACCGCACATCTGGATCACCCGAGTCCTCTCGTCACTTGACTTGGTCTTTTTGACCGACTGGGAACGACAAGTGAAGATATGTTTGAAGAGCCCCCAGTGCGGTCGACAGCCCAAGAAGTTTTCGCACATAGACACGAAAGCGGCCAGATAGACTATGGTATTCAGAGTAAAATGGTGGAGCTGAGCCCCAAAGAAGTTCAAAAAACCCCGGAAGAAAGGGTGGGGAGGCAGCGAGAACCCACGATCTATGTGAGTTGCTAAGAGGATGCACTCACCCTCTCTAGGCTGCGGCTCAGTTTCGTCTCCCGGGAGCCGAGCCGACTTGTGGGGGATAAATCCCCCTTCCACCAGGTCATCGAGGTCGTCCTGCGTGATTGCCGAGCGGATCCAGTCGCCCTGGATCCAGCCCGCCGGCAGGCTGGACCTCGACGAGGATCCGCCCCGGTTGGTCCGCTTGCCCTTCGCCTTCGCGGTTGCCTTCTTCGTGCGTTCCAGCGCCGCCGTCTTGTCCTTCCCCATGGTGGCAGTTCGAGCTCGAGCGGAGATCCGGCGACGAGACGGGAGCAAGGGTGGCGGAGAAATCGGGAGAAAACAGAGAGAGAATGGTGGCGTGCGGAACAGAGCCCCGGCCCAACGCCTTATAAGAGGCTGCTTCCGAGTGGCTGACTGGTAGGCCCGGACGGCCCTGCCAAATCCCGTGGCGATCGCGCGTGTGATACGTGGCGAAAAAGGCGGTGCGAGGATCGAGGCTGCTCCGCGCTATCCCATCCGTTTACTACGGCCTCTCCCGTCCCGCGCGCTTCCCGAAATTTGGATCCCACGAAATCCACGGGCAGCAGAACACCTCGTCGGACCGAAGATCTCCTCCGCACCGTCACTCAGAACTCTTCAAGTATAAGAACTCACTCGACAAAACCTAAGAATGGATCAAGGCGACTGGAAAGAAAGTTGTTGTCATCACTCTGTTCCATTGATCCGAAACAAGGTATGCTCACGACATGAAAAATGAGGCGGAGATGTGCTCAATCCCTTTCCCACTAAAACCTCGATCCATTCAGGGGCTAATGATGAAGCTATGTACCTAGGGTAGGGTCATGGACCTGTCCAAACTGACCTACCCAAGGACACCTCCAGAAGAAATCGCATTTCAATCGACTTGGCGGTGTTTCACTCGACGGACTCGAAGACACTCGACCAAGAAGCAACCACTCGACCAAGATCCAACCACCCGACGGCCAGGAGACCTAAAGTCACTCCGCACGCTAACGGTCGGTCATTAAGTAGCTTTTATGGTCATCATAGCACTTTATTAGGGGCGTTACCAGTAACGCCCAACCTTAATATACTTAAAACCCTGCATAACTGAGGGCCGGAGGGGTCTGGCGGACTCTATATAAGCCACCCCCTTCCTCAGTGTAAAGGGTTCGCACCCCTGTAATTCATACTCTCATAATCCAGTCGACCGCCTCTGGGCTCCGAGACGTAGGGCTATTACTTCCTTCGAGAAGGGCCTGAACTCGTAAACCTTGCGTTCTTACAACTTCTCCATAGCTAAGATCTTGCCTCTCCATAGTTACCCCCTACATCACTGTCAGACTTAGAAGCACGACAGGTAGCTCCCCTAGTTTGCGCGTGTTATAAATTTTGTGATCCCATGCTAGTCGAGGTTGTAGCCTCCCCACTTAGAGTTTCGCTTAACGGGTGTCGTGGGTGATTCCAGACACTGGTAAGTTAAGCTGGTGTGTGCGAGTCAGGTGTGTTTTCAATTAAAAGACCGTAAGCGGAATTAGTCCCGATGGACTAAAGGAATCTGTTACTCGTGGGTAAAGAGTACACCCTCTGCAGAGATTGTATCTATTCGAATAGCCGTGTCCATGGTTAAGGACTACAGTCTGGGATGGGTCAAGTGTCGGTCTTCGGAGGAAAACTTCTAAACCATAATATTGATCATGACATGTGACGAATGATGATTGTGATTATTATTATTATGGATTAACCATTTATATTGTTGTCGAATTGTTGAGTATCCCTGGGATGGTTCTACCTCCTGAATACTCATTGTGATTATTATTATATAAGCCCTTTATGTGGTGTCGTCCAGACGCCCGACTGTGACATGCTTGTTATTTATTTTCCCTATAAGCCATATATGTGGCGTCGCTCAGACACCCGACTGTGGCATATTGATTATTTATTTTCCTTATAAGCCCTTTGGGTGGCGTCGCTCCGACGCCCGACTGTGGTACACATGTTATTTATTTTTCTTATAAGCCCTTTATGTGGCGTCGCTCAGACGCCTGACTAAGGCATGCTTTATATTATTATCCTTTCGATGCATCGTTTCAGACACCCGATCGGTTTATTTTATCTTCATTCTCAGATCGCTTATTCCTGTTTAATACGAATGACTTGCTTACGTGCATCATGGATTTTTTTTGGGACTGACTAAGTGATCGTGGATTATTTCAGTGCATGAGTAGCACCTGCTATGTTATACCTGTTTTCATGATGTTTGCGAGTACATTCAAAGTACTCACTGGCTTGTCCCTGACTATTGTCTTGGCCAAATTTCTTGCTTGGAGAGGAGCTCAACGACGACAGTCCCGGAACCTAGGCAATGGAGATAGCAGCCGTGCAAAGATAGGAGTTATCCAGGTCAGCTGTTCCTGTGGGAAATGGAGTCCCATAGACGCTGATGATCCGCAAACCGTTTCCGCCGTCACCCATTAGAAAACTTTTGTTGTACTCATAGATGAGAATGGTCTTGTACTGCATATTTTATATTTTGCTTGGAATTTCTGTATCAAGATTGTGTCTCATCAGCTAAGAGTAATCCTGGGGCTAGTGAGCACAAGGACAATTGACTGGGAAATTTATATCCTGGAAAACCGGTCCTGACACATGTTCCTATAGCCGTTCACTTAGCAAGTAACACAAGTACTAAGACTCATTATGGCAAAAAACCAACTATAGGCATGTCTTCCTTTAGGAGACTTTTTTTAATCAATAGGCTTCTAAAATAAAATTTTAGACAGCAGTGCGAGAATAAGCCGGGTAGGGGCAAATTATTTTGCAAGCCACCCACAAGTCCCCCAAAAATGGCCCTAAAGGAAGTCGATAGAGATGATTTTGCGCCCAAATACAGACGAGAGCCTGCACAAACAGACAATTGGAGCGATTTAGACTGCCCCTTGGAGATAACCCTCCTATGTGTAGTTTATCTCAACAAAAGGCAAACCAATCCCACATGCAACGCTTAGCGGGGCGACCCATCTCAGTGTCTCATTCAACAGGGAGTGTTCCTAATTTTCTATGCGGGTTCTTTTGGTTTGCAGTTGTTTGAACATATTAAAAGAACACTGGTAAACAAAATTTAGAACCCCAAACATTTTTTAAAAAGGTGAAAAATCTTAAAAATAGTATGACCATTTTTAAATGTGAACAATTTCTATTATGTACAAGTTTACGTTTTTTATAAAAAATGAACAATTTTTTTAAAACATGATTTTTGAAAGAAAATATAAAAAAAATAAAAACGAACATGAAATAAATTTAGAAAATAAAAACGAAAAAGAAAAAAAACTAGAAAGTAAAAAAACTTCTAGAACCTTCCTTTTTGTAGAAGACCTTCTAGAACCTTCCCAAAACCGGAAAAAGAACCTTCGCAAAATCAGGAATCAGGTCTTGGAACACTAATGGGCCGGCCCGGAAATTTGTCGAGATGCCCCTAGGGCCCACCTTATGGATACAAATCATCAGCAATTCCAGGCCGGCAAGACCGAATATTAGCCCATAAAAAGGACGGGCAGACTATTCCAAATCTCGACGCGGGAAAAGTCTAACAGAAGAGGGAAGGAAAGGAAAGCGCCCCCCAAAAATTTCCCGCGTTCCGTAGGTAGGAGCTCCGCCCCGGATCTAACCGTCGACGAGCGATGGCCTCGACGAGGGATCTCGCCATAGCGTCCATCTCGGCCGCCGCAGGCGCCGTAGCTGCCGCGGCCGCGCTCCTGTACTCCTACTCGGCAACCAATTCCAAGCCCCAGAGCCCGCCCCCGCCCCCGCCGTGCACCGAGCCACTCCCCGTCAACGGCTGCGCCGCCAGGCATCCGCCAGCGCAGGACCCCTTCAAAACCACCAAGAGGGAAGGGTTAGTCCCCTTTGCCGGGCCCTCTTTCACCGCCCCTCGCCGCCTCGCGTATCTTGGTTGCCGCTCTTGTTAAGCTTGGGAGGATTTGTGCCCCCGTTTTTATTTTTTGGGGTTCTTGTTGCAGGTTCATCTCATGGGACGACTACTTCATGGCGATTGCGTTCCTTTCAGCCGAGCGTTCAAAGGATCCTAATCGGCAGGTGAGGCACATCTCTGTTGACGCCTGTCGAAATATCCTAAATATGTGTTTGCGCTCAATCTGTTCGTAGAAATTCCTCAATGAAACCGGTAGTCTGCTGCTGCGTGAGATAATGGGAAAGCCATGTCCGAACGTGGCCGACCAGCTGTCTCTAGCCACTGCAACGAATAATTCATTTGCCATTAGGCAATTGGCTTTGTTTTCCCTTCCAAACCAGAGTTGACGCCAAACTCATGCCGGTGAACTGCAAGCTGGAAGCGACGGTGATGTGGTAGTGGAGCTGAAAGAGGAGACATAACTGGAGTGCTTAGGGAGTTAGGGTCGTGAGGTGGAGCCGCCACGGGACTTTGGAGTTAGAGCTGGGTCGCAACCGCGCGTGTGCTGGTGTGCGTGTGTGCGTGTGTGTGTGTGTGGGGGGGGGGGCTTGATCAATATCTGTGCAACTTTGGCCGACTGCATTCTAGGCTGACTCAATGAAAAGTTGATCAGCCTTTCAAAATTAAAACTATTATAGTGATTTCGAGCTTTTCACACAAAGCAGCAATATCAGGGATCACTGACAGTCCTGTTGATTGTATTGAAAGTTTGTTTGACATCATTTATTCAGTGAATGTGGCATAAAAATAAATCTCAACATAAGGTAGCAAGTAGCAACTCATGTAAGATTTTTCATTTTTTGTTCACTTTTATTTGTCAAACATTATGATTTTTCTACCTAAAATCCATTTTATGCAGGTTGGCGCTTGCTTGGTTAGCCAAGAGGGCATTATCCTAGGTAAGGATGGAGGCTAAGCTGCTTTATGATATGTAACTTGATTTATCCAGAACTTTAATTGATGGCTGCAGTAATGATAAGCAAAGTACAAGGATTGTTGTGATAGGCCAAGTGCCATAGTTTGTCATCTTTTGATAATATAGTTCAACTGTTTTTACCAACAGGTATTGGCTACAATGGATTCCCAAGAGGCTGTTCGGATGATAAGCTTCCTTGGGCAAAGGTAATTATCTTTGAAGCTTTAATTAGAAGGGCTGTAAGTTGAGGTCCATTCACTAATAAGAACTAGTGAAGCTCTATTGATGCTAGTGTAAATTTAAGTTTCTCATGTGGTGTTCATTTTTTTATCCAATTAAATAGATTTGACACGTTTGCTGGAATTCGATTATTTCACATATTAATTTTAATTTCTTTGTATTACTTTTCTACTGCAGAAATCTGCAAGAGGGGATCCATTGGAGACAAAATATCCGTAAGTTATAAATTTCTTCAGTAAAATGGTTGTTGCTTTCAGTTTTGGGAAATAACGCATGTAAGTACATTCATCACAAAACAAGCTCATGTAAGCACATCTAATTAGCAGAAAAGAATTGCAACTTTAATAAAATTCGAATTTACTAAATAACTGGGTGTTTTTCAGAAAACCCACCAGATAACCCTTTCTGTTCTGTGCTATATTGTGAAAGAAACTCTGATTACCTTAATTTTGTGTAAGCAATAGTTGATCTTACAAGCAATATAGCTGCACTGCTGGTTAGCAATTGTCTGGCTCGCTACTTGCAAAACTGTCAACCCTTCATATCTTGCCACTTCACTATGTTGTCATCCATTTTTTTTGGAGAATGTAAATTTTATTGCCTGATTTACATTGTTATAAACAGAAAAGAGGTCTGTTGTCTAATATTTCTGCGAGATATTGTAGCAATTCTAACATTGCTATGAAATTATGATCTCTATGAATTTGCTAAATGTATCGACAAAGAGCTAGCTATGGACAGGGGTGCGTGGAAGCTTGCTATCCATGTGCCAGAGCCATGAGTTGGTTGCGAGATCTTATGGGTTTCACCTCTAGCCTACCCCAACTTGTTTGGGACTAAAGGCTTTGTTGTTGTTGTTGTTGTTGTTGTATGAATTTGCTAAATGCTATGGTATGATGCATTGTCCTCCACAAAATTTCTTATAGCAGCTAGATGTTCAAATCTAACCCTTTTTTACTTCTTGGCAGCTATGTTGTTCATGCTGAAGTTAATGCTATTTTAAATACAAACCATGCTTCAGCGGCTGGACAGGTTTGCTATTTCGTTCTCCTTCTCCATTCTTTAATTAGTCATCAACGAATGCCTTATTGTTCCCCTTCTACTGCAGAAGTTATACGTCACCATGTTCCCCTGTAATGAGTGTGCTAAGATTATCATCCAGGTTAGTACCTAAAGTAAATGAACATGTTTTTTTGTCATTTTGGAGTCAGAATTTCACTCAAACATTGATGAAATGCATTCAAACCTCACATTTTCTTCGTTACAAGTTTCTCTATATTTCTAAACACGGATTCTATAAATGTGCACCTAAGTTTGTACTCCCTCCGATCCAAAATAAGTGTCGCAGTTTTGAATAAAGGTTAGTTCAAAGGATTTTCATAGGATCTTTGAAGGATTAGAATCCTTAGGAATTTTTCCTACGTTGGTCGTTTGATTCATAGGATCCTGTAGGATTTTTTCCTAAGGATTCATTTGTACTACATTTCGTAGGAATTCTAACATCCACTCCAACCTCTTGGAAGAATTCCTTTGTTTTTCCCGTGACACAATGAAACAAACTCAAATCCTATAGGGATCCAATGGACATGCCATTCCAATCCTATGTTTTCCCTATTCCTGTGTTTTTGCAATCCTATGAATCAAAGAGGCCCTTATTATGGATCGGAGGGAGTACTACATAATATTTTCACGTTTAATCTGACCATTCTGGTAGGACCGTAAGTGGTCGGACCCTTCCCTGGACCCTGCGCAAGCGGGAGCTACGTGCACTGGGCTGCCCTTTTTAATCAAACCATTCTGGTTCACTACAAACGTTGCCATTTAAAATCTATAACTCTAATTTGTGCAAAGACTCTACATTTGACAATGATTTACTGGTCTGACGTTTCAGTCAGCAGTTTTCATGTTACACTATTTCCCTTAAATATACAGAAAACAATTACCATGCAAATTCTGAAATATGAAATTACTGTTTGTACCTTTCACTTGGTAATTATCCCCCCTTTAATCAACAAAAATAACTACTCACACTATTTTTATGTGGAAGTAGCTTCTACCTGTGCTCACGTAAAAGGAAAATAATCTACCCAGTTCTAACCATTGTGCTGTTTTTTGTTGCAGTCAGGTGTATCTGAAGTCATCTATTTTGTAGAGAAAAGGATTGACAACTCAGATCATGTTTATGTTGCTTCTCACAACTTATTATCAATGGCTGGTGTGAAGGTACTGACATTTGATCATTTCTCATATAAGCACTGTTTTGGCATGGGTTACATTCTTATGCATCATCTCTCACAGGTCAGGAAGCATCAGCCACAAATGGCACAAATACCAATCAACTTTCAGGGTCCAAGGGTCTAATCAATGAACTGTGCGCCCTTAGGTAATGCAAATGTGCACCAATGCCTTAACAATTATGTCAGTCATTCAAAGGCTGTCATGTATTGTAATCATGCCTTAACAGTTATATACTCCCCCGGGGGCCTAGCTGTTGTAATATTGTAGTCAGTTGAATTACTAGGTTGAGAAAAGCACCCGTAACTAGTTGCATCCTCTTGCGAAATTTGTATGTGCTCAGTATCATGAACCATTCTTCTGTAAACTGTGGTTGCACCCATGATTTAACTCTCACTACGGTCGATTCTCGTTGTACTCCCTCTGTTCCAAAATAAGTGTCTCAACTTTATACTAACTTTAGTACAAAGTTGTACTAGAGTTGAGATACTTAGGCCATGTTTGGTTCATAAGTCCTAGGACTTTTTTTAGTCTCAACTTATAAGTCTTAAGTCCCTAAAAAGTCCCTACCTGTTTGGTTCCTGGGACTTAACATGAACCAAAAGACCATATTATAACTATAAGTCCCTTCTTGAGAGTCTTATTTCATAAGTCACAAATGCCCACATTTGGTTTAGATGGGACTTATAGAGACTTTTTTAAGTCCCTAAACCAATAAGTTTCTGGAAGCAAACACCCTCTTATTTTAGGACAGAGGGAGTAGTAAATTGTGATAGGTCCTCCTATACCTGTGTGATATTCCCTCCGTAACGAAACAAGTGACGCGTCGGGAGACAGACTTTTGTACACAAAGTCAACTTTGCTGTTACACCCCCTATCGTTCAAATTAGACGTGCACATGTCTTTCTTCCCCGCAGCTCTGCCTCCAGCGCGCTACATCTTCGTCGCAGCTCCTTCTCCAGCGCGCTCCATATTCTCCTCATCCTGCGCTCCAGGCGCCTGAGGCTGTGCTCGCGATCCAGCGCCTAGCCCGTGCTCGCCGTCCACCAGCTCGCCCTCCAGGCTCAAGCCGCGCTCCTTCGCCACATCAGCAGGCACCTGCAGTTCCAGCGACCGGGCAGCACCTGCAGTTCCAGCGTCCTGCATTTGCACCTCCACCACAAGTCAGATTGCTGCACATTCAGTTCGCCGGCAAGAGGAGGATGATGATGCCTGATTTGAACTTTAGTCATCCACAAGAGGAGGAGGATTTTTGAAAAGGATGATGTACCTGAAGATCCAGAAGAAGGATGATCCACAAGAGGAAGTTAATGATCGAGTAGAGGAAGATGATCCACAAGACGAAGCGCAGATACAATGTCTAATGTAACTTTACTCCACTGCAAACTGAAACTGAAACAACCGACAAAATTCAGTTTTAAAATTGAAACTGAAACTTGCTGTATACTTGGATCATGTGTTACTCCAGGTTTTAAACTTGCTGTATACTTGGAGTATACAACAATATTGCGTATACTTGGAGTACTTGAAACTGAAACAATATTCAGACAAAGGAGTGCTCCAGGTTTTAAAATCAGTTTTCACATGATTTAGTAACTGTATACTTGGAGTAGTTTGCAACTTGCTGAACTTAAAATTCAGGTTTTGAAGCTTGCTGTATACTGAAACCTGCAAGTATGAATCATGTGAAACTTGCTGAAACAAATTTAGTCAGTACACGAATCATGAAAAATTTAGTGAGTGTTTAGTCAGTGTATGAATCATGACAAATTTAGTCAGTGTTTAAACTTGCTTAAACATGATTAAATAAACTTTCAGTTTACATGCTTAAACTTGACAGTGTAAATTTTAAACTTGACCGGAAACAAACTGAAACTGAATAAAAATGTTGTACTCCTAATGCTGAAACTGAAACTTGACAGTGTAAATTTTAAACTTAACAGTTTACTCCTAATTTAAACTGAAACTTGACAGTGTTGGGCTGTGCCCTCAGCGGAACCCCATTTGTACTATTTGTTGTGAGACCTGGGTGTGGCGTGCGTGTTCTGTTGTGGTACTCTGTGGCATTGGTGGTTTGCTTTATTTATAAAACGGGGCCAGAGCCTTTTTCGGTAAACTTGACAGTGTAAATTTTAAACTTGACAGTTTACTCCTAACTGAAACTGAAACATGACAGTTTACTCCTAACCGAAACTGAAACTTGACAGTGTAAATTTTAAACTTAACAGTTTACACCTAATTAAAACTGAAACTTCTGAGTGTAAATTTTAAACTTGACAGTTTACTCCTAACTGAAACTGAAACTTGTCAGTGTAAACTTTAAATTTGACAGTTTACTCGTAACTGAAACTGAAACTTGACAGTGTAAACAAACTGTAAACTGTAAATTCGGTGAAAATCAGGAAACAAACAAAATTTCAATATTTAGAACATGGAAAATGCATTTACTCCAACATTTTTTAATATTTTCAATTATTTGCACTTTTGCATTATTTTCATTATTGCAAAAAGCTATGTTACTACATGCCTCTCTTTCTTCATTTATTACTTGCCACATCATCTATTTTGTCTAGATATGTGTGATGTTACCACCTATGTTACTCCCACTGTGGGTAGTCCTATCCACAGTGGGAGTAACATAGGTGGTAACATCACACTTATTTAGGCAAAATAGATGATGTGACATGTAATTAATGAAGAAAGAGAGGCATGTGGTAACATAGCTAGTTACTGTAACATCACACATATTAAGAAAGAGATGAGTCTATAACCTAATAAATGAAGTGATGCATGACACAACACATATATTACTACCCATTGTGGAGGTAGTAACATAGAGTAGTAACACACGCATGTTACTACTCTAAGTTACTCCCCACTGTGAGTAGTCTTACGAGTAGGTACATGTCTTGCTCTCATCACCCCCCTGAATTTCAAGGTGGGACCTCCTCCCCTCTAATCAAAAGCTGCCAACTAATCCCTTATATTAAATTTCGTAACTATTTTCTAGGTTTTTTTTTCGAGACAAAACTATTTTCTAGGTGTAGCAAAGCTCGGCTGAATATAGGACCAAAACAACCCAATAGGTTGAATAATACATGGCCTGGCCCATTTACTATAGGTGCTGTGCGTGGGCCTGTCACACGGGCAGGCACGGTGCCGTGCCTGGCACATTTAATCCAGGCCGGGCCGTGCCGGGCTATCTGACACGGGATCCTATTTGGTGCGTACACCTGGGCCGGTCAAACTACTCATTTTCGGTTTTGGAAACCAGTTTTTTTCTTGTTTTTTCATTCATTTTTCTCCTTTTATTTTTTTCCTTTCTCTTTTAATTTTTACATTTTATCCTTTATCCTTTTTTCTTTCCAAATTCATGAATATTTTTTGACATCCGGAAACATTTTTCAAATCGCTGAAAATTTCTTGAAAGTCAAACATTTTCAAGTCGGCGAACATTTTTTAAATAAAAAAAAATATGTTCATTGACTTCAAAAAATGTTCACCAAATTAAAAACAGTTCATTATTTTTTTCAAAATTTTCAGCATATCAAAATTTGTTCATCAAATTAAGAAAATATTCATGGAATTTAATTTTTCACCAAATGCAAAAAATATTCATGAAGAGTTCAAATTTTATTCTTAAAAAATATTCCTTTTTTGGAAACTATGAACATATTTATGAATCATTTAACATTTCTTAGAATTAGTGAACATTTTTTGAAATTCTAAACTTCTTTTGAAATCCCGAATTTCTATAAAGAAGCAAAAAAGTTAAACGAAAAATAAAAAACAGGGGAGCCCCGCCCCGCACCTGGGTTGACCCAAGATCGCGCGCTGGCTTCTTTCCCAGCGCGCAGGTCGCGGTATAGGAGGTCCCCTGTCTGATCAGGTTTGACCCCAAGGGCCGGGATTTCTGTTTGGACGTGCGACGGTGCGAAGCGGAAAAACCACCACGCACCCCGCCGTTATGCCCGCCCGCCTGCCGCCGCCGCTCCGCCCGTCCTCCGCGCCGCCGGCTCCCACCGTCACGCGCACGCTGCACGCGATCAACACCTGCACCTCCTCCACCGCGCTCGCGCCCCTCCGCGGCGCCATCCTCCGCGAACCCGCTCTCCTACGCTCCACCACCGTCGTCTCCGCCTTCTTCCTCGCCTGCGGCCGCCTCCGCCACCTCGCCCCCGCGCTCTCCCTCTTCGCCTCCCTCTCCCGCCCCCACGTCTTCCTGTTCAACTCCATCCTCCGCTCCCTCCACCCTGCGCCCGGCTGCTCCCCGCTCCCGCTCTTCCGCCGCTTCCTCTGCCTCGGCGGCCGCCCCAACCGCTACACCTTCCCGCTTCTCCTCACCTCCCTTTCCTCCCTCCGCGACCTGAGGGCCGTGCATTCTCGGGTGGCCAAGTCCGGCTTCTCGCGCGACCTCCACGTCCGCAACGCCCTCCTCGCGCGTTACGCCGCCTGCGACCCATGCCTGGCCCACGCCGAGCAGCTGTTCGACGAAATGGCCCAACCGGACGTTGTCGCGTGGACCACCATGATCACCTCATACAAGAATCGCGGCCGCAGCTTCAACGCCCTCGCCACATTCCGGCGGATGCTGTCTGCTTCTGTTGCCCCCAACCGTGTCACCATGGTCGCCGCGCTTGGCGCATGTGCGGCCCATGGTGCCATCGAAACTGGAGCTTGGATCCATGAGTACGTGCAGAAGCAGGGATGGGAGCTGGACGTTATATTAGGCACTGCACTCGTTGATATGTATGGGAAGTGTGGACATGTCGTCGACGGGGTTCGTGTATTCTCTGAAATGGCCAAGAGGAATGTCTATACCTGGAACTCTATCATTGGAGCGCTTGCTCTTGCACAGGATGGCACAATGGCACTTCAGTGGTTCTATAGGATGGAGGCTGATGGTGTCCGGCCAGATGCAGTGACGCTCATCTCTGTTCTTTGTGCATGTGCCCATGCCGGGTTTGTTGACATTGGGAGGAAAATATTTAACCTGATCATACAAGGAAAGTACGGGTTTCGACCTGGAATCAAGCACTTCGGGTGCATGGTTGATATTCTTAGTCGCTCTGGACACCTGGATGATGCTTTTAGTGTCGTTGAGACAATGTCACAGCCAAATGCAGTCATCTGGGGCTTACTGTTGCGGGGTTGTAAGGCTCATGGTGACTCACGATTGAGTGAGCATGTGATGACAAGGTTGGTGGAGTTAGAGCCTGAGAATGCTTCACATTATGTGCTGTTATCAAATTTATATGCCGAGACAGGGAGGTGGCAGGAGGCTGAGGAGATCTTGCAGTGGATGAAGAAGAAAGGATTGAGGAAGGATGCAGGCTGGAGCCTTAGGATGTTAGGAGACAGGCCGTTGTCACCGAAATTTGGCAGCACGAAGCCAATGTTTCCGATCCAAGGATCTTTTGTGCGGTAACACAGGCCAAAGAAATGTATTACTGATGAATTATATGTGTTTCATGAGGAACATTGGAGGGTGGATTGATGTGCATGTAGAGAAGCAAGAACTTGCTTATCACTCCAAGTTGTGAGGATGAGAAATTGAGACCATGGACATCGATTTGGGAGCAGGAATTTGAGAAACATGCGTCTGGGATTCCTAAATCATGGTTGAATTGGTGCCAACGAGACTGGAATTGCTTGGGGCACACATGCTTGGTTCGATGTGAAAAGGTTTGTTAAGGCTACAGCTTTGTTAGTTACTGCTGATAGTTGTGCATATAGTCATCCATAATAAATGTTAATATTTGGGGAAAGAAGAAAAGCTTTTAACTCTTATTTCACAAATCCTTTAGTTCTGAGTTTTCTCGGAAACACGCCTCCTGCAGGTTATGGTCCTTGCACGAAAAAAGAAGCAGCACGACCTTTGAGCTGTCGATCTGAATCGTGCAATGGACTTTTGTTGCTCATTTGTAAAAACAATACATTTGCATCCTTGGCTCCATTGTAATATTGAGGTTTACAAGGCTGCTCGTCACTCTAACAAAAATGAGCATTGTTGTAACTTACTGCCATTATTAGTTATAGAGTTTTGCTTCTTTGAACAAAGGCATTTCTAATTGACTATCTCTTCAGTCAAACTAATAAAACTTTGACTAGCAATACCGTTTTAAATGCTTAGACTGAAAACCTGAAAAATCGTATCTGCATATTTGTCTTAAAAAGGTTTCCAATTTATTATTATTTTCTTGGTTTTATACATATTGTGGAAATTAGTGGTCAAAGTTACATCTTGAAGACCATGTAGATTTCCGAAATGTTACTTATTCTGAACTGGAGTGCTAGTAAAATAGATTTGGTGCAGGAGACACAATTTCCTAATTAAGGGCTTCTGCAATTTGTGACGGGATGCATCTTGAGATTAATATTTTAATACTGCCATAAAAGCTAACTATGTGCATTCTCAGTAGCATAAGTCATCCATGACGCAGCCTGTGAAAAATACAAATGAATACGACAACACAAGTTGGTTGGTACCGCTCTGGACAAGAAAATATCTCATTTTCTTAGCTCTGAGTGGCCTATAGAGATTTGAGGGACCAGCTGGAAAACTGTTACTTGATGGTGACCCAGTTACTCTATTATTGCTAGGTAAAGATGTGTCTAATCCTTGGAAACACCACCATTCATGTTTCGGCGTGCTTTCAAAGTGGATGCATATCTAAAATGTTGTCTTCCCTGGATTTTTCTGTCTTTGCTCGTTTGGTTCCAGTGTGACTCATAAAAGTAGATATGTTGCCAGTATAAAGCTGCACAGAGCTTACAAAAGGATGAAGCCCTGAAGGTACATAACAAAACATGGCTCCGCTGACTCCCAGACTTGTGGTGCCCATAGATGTGAAGAAGAAGCCATGGGAGCAGAAGGTTTGTCTCCATAACCGCTGGCATCCGGATATCCCTCCTGTTGCTGATGTAACTGAAGGGGAATTATTCCGTGTTGAGATGGTCGATTGGACTGGAGGACGGGTTAGAGATGATGACTCTGCAGATGATATCAAATTTCTGGACCTCACAATTGTAAGTATGCAATTTTTTTATGGAAGAGATGTTGTTTTATGTGCGCTTCATTGTAGTATTTCTCATCAAAAGCAAGTCTTGTGCCAAACTGAATATGGGTTTTCTACAGACTCATTATCTCAGTGGCCCCCTTAGAATAGTCGATGCTGAAGGGGTTCCAGCTTCACCTGGTGATCTTCTTGCCGTAGAGATCTGCAACCTCGGTCCGCTCCCTGGTGACGAGTGGGGTTATACTGGAATATTCGAAAAGGATAATGGAGGCGGGTTCTTAACCGACCACTTCCCAAGTGCAAGAAAAGCCATTTGGTATTTTGAAGGAATTTATGCATACTCCCCTCAGATACCAGGTAAAAGTTCTTGTGTGAATGAAGCGTTTCAGCTTTAGATCGTTCAGTAGTTCCATTTCTGCATACCAGGTGTCCGGTTTCCGGGATTAACTCATCCTGGTATAGTGGGAACTGCACCATCAGTTGAACTTCTTAATATATGGAACGACAGGGAAAGAAAATTGATCGAGACAGGTCACGAGTCTCTGAAACTGTGCGAAGTTCTACATCAGAGACCCCTTGCTAGCTTACCAACCTCTGACAACTGCTTACTTGGAAAGGTACGGTGTGCTGCCTCATGAATGGTTCACTTTAACTGCAGTACTTATAATTAGTAGTTTATCTTCTTATGTGGCTCAGAATTCCAGTACAACTGTTTTACACGCAGATATTAATCTAGGAGATATAAGCTATTTGTGTTAAAGAACAGGGGCCTCCTTCCTTCCTTCCTTCCTTTCATTAATGAAATCGGCATTAATTTTACAATGTGAAGGACCTCAGGGGCCGACAGATTTATCTGCGCTTCATTGAAGTTTAAGGTGTCCAGGCACCACTTGGAAAATAACATAATGTTTTATACTCGTAAACGTTTTTGTCGGACGGTGAACAGAGATGACCACAGCACATAGCTCAAAAATAGTCAACTTTATCACCTGGAAACTGAATCATCATTGGCATGCCATTTGATCCCTCAAGGCGATCCTTATTTGTTCACCTCACTTCTTCACCAGAAAAATGCAGCGATCTATCAGCTGAGATTGCGTATTGTTGCATAGAAGTTTCCATCACTGCATCGAGTTTGTCCATGCAGCATGCTCCTCAGCACCCCTTTAAACACATATCATTCCTTAGCTTCCATAAACTCCATAATACAGCCAAGTTACATGAGACAATCTCTAATAAACTTTAAATAGGTGGCAGGCCAGGTCTGTCTAACAACCACACAGTCAAAGAACAAGTCGGAAAAAGTTCATAACTGATGTCATTGACCTGACGCATGTTGTTAGCCATGAGCCAGAAGGAAATGTTGATTCATGTAGGTACTGTAAGCTTCCATACAACAGCAGGAGTGTATATAGGAATGATCTTGCCAAGAATATCGCCACCACATAGGTAGACCGAACATATTATACTCCCAAAATATAAATTACCAGCCAGGAAAAAAAATCAGATTCATTGGTCAGGTTCGTAAAACTCGCAATCTGAAATCTCAAGTCCTGTGTTCATCGATACTTTGTTTAAATGTCCCTCCATTCCTAAATATAAGTCTTTTTAGAGATTCCAATGCGGACTACATATGGAGCAAAATGAGTGAATCTACACTCTAAAATATGTCTATATACATCCGTATGCAAACCTTATTGAAATCTCTAAAAAGACTTACATTTAGGAACGGAGGGAGTATATGGTTAAATAGATATGTTGACAATGCATGCAATGTTTGCAGATTCAAGAAGGGACTGCTGAATGGCAAAAAATTGCAAATGAAGCAGCAAGAACTATTCCTGGAAGAGAGAATGGGGGGAATTGTGACATAAAGAATCTAAGCAGAGGTTCCAAAGTTTATCTACCAGTATTTGTTGACGGAGCAAATCTGAGTACTGGTGATATGCACTTCTCCCAAGGTGATGGTGAAGTCTCATTTTGCGGAGCAATAGAAATGAGTGGATTCCTTGAGCTAAAGTAATTGCCTTTGTCCTTGTCTACACTTTTCAATACTTGTTACATTTAGTAGCTTTTATTTAAACGCATCTGGTATCTCATGGTTGTTTGCTGGACCTCTTACTCCAAGAGTCGACCAAAAGAACCAGTCACAACAGCCCAGATCCATTATGTGAGAGAACCTCCCATCATTAGGTTTCACCATTCTTTATCAAGAAACTAGACCGGCACAGTAGCAGGAAGCATCTCCATAGCTGCTTGTTTGAAACTTGTCAGATTCAGATGGGCAGAGATAAACAGATGGAGATAGAAGCATAGAAGATGTATTCATTGGATCAAGCTGTATTACGCTACGCCTACGCCACAAGGCCTACAGGCTCACCACACTGGTTTAGTGCGTCGTGTCTTCATGGCATTTTTAGGCTGATGCTTCTGTGGCATAGTGCATTACTCGTGTGATCAGACTCCTCCGCTAGAGCATTGCTTATTTCTAACCACACTGGCAATTCATATCGTACCTAATAAATTGCAACTCGCAGTTCAACAATTTTGCAGGAGTTGCTGAATTTGCTGGTTAGATAACAAAATCTGTCCATGCGATTTTACTTCTCGTGCGGTGCTTCTGAAATTCCACTAATTTCACCTTCACATTTTGTGCAGGTGTGAGATCATAAGAGGTGGGATGAAGGAATACTTGACTCCTGTTGGTCCTACACCACTTCATGTGAATCCTATCTTTGAGATAGGTCCGGTGGAGCCACGTTTCTCAGAATGGTTAGTCTTTGAAGGCATCAGTGTTGATGAGTCGGGGAAACAGCATTTCCTTGATGCATCAGTTGCGTACAAGTGTGCAGTTCTCAATGCCATTGAGTATCTTTCCAGATTTGGGTACTCCAAGGAGCAGGTAGGCAGTATGTTTACTGTCATCCTGCAAGTATCATGTTAGAAGAACATTATCTTAAAAAGTTACAGTATTAACATTGGGTTATATGCAGGTCTATCTTTTACTGTCATGCTGTCCATGTGAGGGTAGGATATCTGGAATAGTAGACGCCCCTAATGCAGTGGCGACACTTGCGATCCCTACAGCAATATTCGACCAGGTATCCTGCAATAGCCCCAACAAACTGTTTTCTGGACATTTTAAAGGATGTGCATTTTATTTATTGATGTGCTTTTTTTCATGTTCTTAATAAGAACAGAGCGACAAGGTTGTGATTGATGCCTTTGGTGTTGATCTTGTATCTAGCTTAAGACATTTGATTGGAGAAACCAAAAAGTGGTTCCCATTGACAACTACTAGCAGACATATGTGTGTACGTTTTATATATCACATCAGATCAATATCGATACTGCTAGGTTTAAACCAAAAGCATTGTAAATATGTGCCTAGTTACTCCCTGAAAATGTG